GTACTTCATTTTAGTTTTTTTTGAGATAAAGACAAAAGGACTTAGATTCCATCTAAATCTGTTTTCTGCCTTTTAAAAAAGTTCTCTGAATCACTACTCAATATTTGCAAACACACGCTATCTTCGTTAATCATACAACTATCTTTTTTCATAATCTCATTCCATCAATCAGCTTCGTCCCACCTGTCTTCTTTCCCTATCAAGGCCCACTTTTGCTGTTTTGTTCTGGGCTTTAACCCCACTTACCATCATCTGTGCCAGTCAATTTTCTTTGTTCAGAGATCAGTTTTCAGCCAAGTGTGCTGCCTTAGAAGTCATTTTCCTCTTTCTTTCAACCCACAAATCAGTTCACCTCTCTAAATTTAAACAATTTTCAATAAAGTCCACTTTGCAAGTTTACCAGTGAATATTACCAATATTTTTAAAAAGCACTCAATTTTTTGGACATTTTGGGGACCAACTCTCCTATTCTTTTTAAGTCTCACATTCTTTCTTCTTACCCACACCCATAAGGTAACATGGACAGATTATCATCTGTCTTAAACTTAACTGCTCTTCATCCACAAATCTCACAGTGGGGCCCAAGAGGGGAAGCGAGAGAGGTCATGTTTACTGAGTACTTGTGATGTGCCAGTCACCATGTGGGCACCTTACACATGGACTGACCCGGTTTTTTCCCTTGCAACCATCTTACAGGATATGAGAATCTCCCTTTGACAAATGGGAAAAAAAAAAAACAAAAAAAAAAAAACCTGAGGCTTCCAGTAGGTAAATAACTAGCTCAGGGTTCCGTGCTAGAAAGTTGCAATGCCCAAACTTAAGAAATGAGAAGACTGAGAAGATATTTCAAAGAAGTTGATGAAAAACATGCAAAAGTTGTACTTAGCGGCTTCCACTCTAAAGGCATGTGTTGCTATTTCATATGAAAGAAATTACAAAAAAGACAGAGGAGATGGAGAAAGTGTGTTATCAAGAACTACCACTTGCTCTGTGGCCTAAAGCAACATAGGCATCATGAAATTATCCTCAAACTTGAGGCATGAGAGAGAAATGGGGCCCAAAGATGAGCAGGGACGCAGTGCATGTGTGTTGTGGCACACACAGACCCATGCTGATGCCTGACGCCACCCCTCAGCTGACATATAGAGGGGCACTAATGAGTTCTGCAACAGTAATTCTCCCTACGGTGCAATAGAAGAACTGGGGAAAAAATTAATCTTTGAATATTCCGTATCAAAACAACCCCCCCACAGTTTCTTATAAAACCTCAATAAATGTAGCTACTTAACTGATTAAAGCACATTCTGTGAGCCAATATATATACATTGCAAATCAAGTGTAAGTAATACTCTATTTTATGTACACAAAACAAATTCCCGCTTACCTTAACATTATTAGATCGGGTCACCAATACTAGGTTTCTAGTTCCTTTACACCACTCCCCACTCCACAAAATGCATGTTATAAACACTCTTGAGAGGAAAGGGGAAAGTTAAACAACGACAATTACATTCGATTACAACCTCAGACACTTAGAAATACACAGTTTCTGAGAGAAAACAAAAAGGTCTGTGAATAAGTTGAAAGGAAACAGTGCCAGGCTACTAAAATGTTACAGCTATCCAAATCATAAAAAGAACTACACTAGAGATGTGAGTTAGCACTCTCAAACTTAGAATCCTAGGGTTTCTTAGCAGAAAAAAATCCATCAGGATCCAGGTAAATGGGTCTCGGCATTTTAAAGATGCGGAAATTGAGTCTAAAAACAAAACCGCCCAGTTGTACTACTGGGTTCACTGTCTAACGATGTCCTCTCCCATTCTGTCCACCACACTTCATGGCAGTATTAGATAAAGAAAAAAAATTTAAGGGGAAAGCAAGCTGTTTCCTAATTCATCAAAATGTACCAAGGAAAAAACAAAGGATATAAAAGTTGATAACCTCATTAGTTATAATTCTGCACACCTAGACCATTAGGCCTTTTGATTTAGAAGGCTCAGTAGTGAGACAGCTAGCTAGAAACAATCAAAAACATGACTGACAGATAGAGCAGACATAAATCGTCCAACCCCTTATTATCACTCCAGTGTAATTTCAGATAATAAAATATGGTATGTACCTCACCACCGTTTTCTCTAGAATATAAAATTTAAATTGATTTGGGGAACTCCAATTTCATCTGCTTTCCTTCATGCCAGTTTTTAGTGCCTTTTTTGACGCCATACTTTAAAATAAAGTTCTCTACAATGATTTTCACAAAATGTTTCAGTGATTCTTTTTAAATCTCTGAATAGCTATAAGACTAGGGGACTTTTATTTTTTGTTCTTTTTGCATCTTACTATATTTTGCTTTGAAATAAAAACATTTAAGTTAAAAACAATAAAAAATACTAAACCGACTGGCTAATATTTCTGAAAGTATGCCACAGGTTTAATTATGGGATAGTAATTGTCTAGTACTCATCTAAATTTCATTCTGCTATTGCTGTAACAGGAAGCAGGAGGCCTTGAAAGGAACCCTCTAGAATCCCCAGGGTACGCAGAAGCTGAGTGCATATCTACTCTCCAGGACATACCTCAAAGGAATCATGGTGTGTGAGAGAGCTATTAACAACTTACTTTGTGTATAATCAGCAGAAACAAAAGATATGACAACAAGCATAAAGGCCTCCCTCTCGCTCCCCCCTTCTCCCGTCTCAGGGGAATTCAGCAAGGGAAGGCCAGTGGGCATTCACTTCAGTGTCAAAAGGGCTTCCAGAAAGCACATTTTCTGTGGGGCAGGGAGGAAATATGGCAGGCTTCCTACACACACACACACACACACACACACACACACACACACAAGTTCTTTGTTTACTAAGATCACACATTAAAAACTGTTAAGGGGGGGCACCTGGGTGGCTCAGTGGGTTAAAGCCTCTGCCTTTGGCTCAGGTCATGATCCCAGGGTCCTGGGATCGAGCCCCACATCGGGCTCTCTGCTCAGTGGCAAGCCTGCTTCCCTTCTTCTCTCTCTGCCTGCCTCTCTGCTTACTTGTGATCTCTGTCTGTCTAATAAATAAAAAATCTTTAAAAAAAAAAAAAAAACTGTTAAGGGCCAGACTTCTGAAAAGAAGTCTGAAAAAGCCCCACAACAGGAGCTATTACTCAGAATAACTGAAACTGAATGAGGTAGAAGGTGTGTGTAAGGAAGGGGACAATGGAAGAAACAAAGAGTCACAGAAATGACAACTTGAGAATAGAAACATGTTACCAAGAAAAGGGATTACAGAGTCTGGAATGCTTCTTGCAGAGTCAGGGCCCATTTGAAACTTTATTTTATTTTTAAACATTCAACCTTCAGGTAGCCATTTGCCTCATAGGCACTATAAAAGTCAGAGCCTAAATAAACAAACTAACTTCCATGTCAGGTCAAGACTCTCCAGTTCAGCTGGTCATAAGCCTGGATCGGTTCTGAAGGGCATGTGTTTTGGTGACTTCAGTCTAGCAGTTGCAGGGATGAGGGAAACTATCTGAACCCATGAAAAACTCCTAAAAGAGTGAAGAGACAAAATTTGTTTTAAGAAGCAGAGAATGGGAGAGAGAGAACCCAAAAAGAGTCCCATCAGAGGACGGAGGGATGCGGCTAGGTAGAAGCTCTGTCACCCTCCAAGACAGAGCAAGCACTGATTAGAACTTCAGTCCCATTTCAGTGGTTAGACAATGCCAAGCAGCAAGAGGAAAAACTACTCAGATAACACAAAGAATTCAGGAAGACCATTAAGTGAAATAGATTTGGCAAGAAGCTAGTCATGAGCTCTTGTGAAAAGAGCAGAGAAAGAAATAAATTAATTACCCAACACTATAAAGATGAAGATGTACACTGAACACTGCTACAAAATAAATGAATACAAAAACTGAAAAACAGGAAGATGAACTAAGTTGCTGGATGTACAGATAATGTCTATCTTAATTTTTCAGGCTGCCACTTCACTAAAGACTACATTCCGGGCCTAATCATACTCAGCCATGGAACCCCAGGCTAAGACTCAGAAGGGACAAGTATACAGAAGCTACAGCTCTAGAATCAAAATACTGCTTAACCATCAAAAAGCAACTGGTGAGTCTAAACTGTATTGATCCAGTCTCCAATACAGAATGGCCAGAAATATGCTTTATTCTTACAGAGGCCTTAGATGAGGCAGGGTGTAACAACAG